ACGAATCGGATACCTAAAATAATATATATAATTAGTATTTGACAATTACGAAAAATAAAAATGGATATCTTGTCGGCGATTCGGTCCACGGGAATGATTGTGAGTACATCAATGATACCAGGCGCAAGAGCACCAATAATCGGGTTGAGGGGAATTCGCTGCTCAATCATTTTGCGCCGAAGTGCCTGTTTCCAGTGAAATAGGCATTCAACGATCTTGTTCAGGCGAAATTGGTCTGTAACAGTGTTCATAAGACCTCGCTCGAAGTCGCACGTAACAGTCGCTGGCTCTAGAAGACGGTCTGTCTGAACAACGGCATAATTGAGAGCATTTCAGTACGCGACCTGGTGCTTGGAATCCATCAGCACATACATGTCGGGTACGTAAACGTCCACACCTGGATCCTTAACCATCACTATCAGGCACTGAGTTAACGATCGGGGGACCATTTTAAACGTGCCGTCAATGAAGATAGCAGAGCTTGAGTAGCGAAGCAAGCGAACGAGGTCCGGGTGACCAAATCCGACGTAGCGACATTCTCCACACCCAACAGTGTTGACCACATTGAATTGCAGAAAGGTCGGTGGTCATCATCCGCGACGTTCCTGGTGGGAACACTCTCAATGGCTCAGAAGGCATCGCTGTCTGTGGCTTGCGCTCTCGTGTACTTGATGATGGAGACGCTGACCAGTCGGGGGATCATGTTGAGTGCCTCGTTTGGGTGTGCTTCACGGATCGAGGCTATCACACGCTCCCAAATGAATCTTAATGGGTGGAAAAGGTTTGCAAGACAGACTTCCTGGAGATAGATGCGCATATCAGCGCGCACATCGGTAAGAGCGGGGGCGTTTTGACATCCTTGTCGCATGTATGATCGTTACGAGCCGTCAAATTGCTGTTGCAAACGATAAGTCGGGCCTTGCATCATCCACGGTGCTGTGCGCAGATGAAGTGCGACGTTCCGGATTCCTCAACGGCGCCCTGGTGGTAGAAATTGTAACCCTAGTACTCCATGACTCACTTATGACTGGTAGCAACATTAAAAATTAAAGCGACAGTCAAAAAGAAGTTTTCAAAATGGTTGGTGCTCGAGTCTTAGAACATTAATTTGTTTTTATTTTTTAATGGCGGTAAACTACCTAT